TTCTCCTCATTCGAGATGTTCGACTAGCACTGTGCCTAAGAACTCTTCTTATCTAGGCTTCGTGAATGATTTCGACATTCACGGAAGCCAAAGATATGGTCTATCACCTCCTGTGCAAAAGCAATCACATTTTTATGTTAATGTGCAGAATGAGGGTTTTACTAATTTTCCCAACAATACTTCAGAAGCAATGCAGGATAATGCTACGATGCAGCCCCAAAGTCCATCCATGCTTGAAAGTGCCTTGTTTGAAACGCCTAACTACAATAGCTTTTCTTTTTTAACCAATCCATTTTCATCATCACTGCCTCTGGAATGTGATACGGGTTTGATTGGTGAAAACTACGGAAAAAATAATGCTGTGAACATTTTTGGAGAACCCTTGATGAGGTAATCAAAACTTAAGTTATTTTTTAATTTGTAATACTATATTTGAAAATTTAATTATGTTATGTTCCACAATGATCAGCATCGATGAAGATAACAAGGGATGTACAAGTCCGATGAATAGGCAACGTAGACATCCGCGTCAAAACTCAAAACACACAATTTGCAACAAAAAATCTGTTTTTCGGGGAGTTTCAAGGTATGTCAACTTATACTTGTTTCGAATTGTTATAAGCAATTTTCATAAGTTACTTTTCTCCCAAGTGAAAGTGTTGATAGTTAATTTTCTTCCTAGCTACCGGGAGACATAAAAGCCCCTTCCAATTAATTAGTTACTGGTTTCGTAGAAAATAACAATAGTTCGAAATATAAAAAATAAAAAGCTCTCTCTACATTTCTTTCCTCACTCGATTTTCTCATTCTCCTGCTGTACTTTCGTTCTCGCATACATAGCTTAATCTAGTATGTAGTTAACAATGAATATATAGGCACACGGAAGGACGCTTTCAAGCATTTATATGGGATGGCACAGAACCAGAAAAGAAAGGCAAGACAGGTACTGAAGTTATTTGATTATCCGTCTCCGATTTTTGTTTACTAATCATGCAACATCTAAAATTATCCAATAATTAACTCTCGTTTTTTTTTTTTTTTTAATTGTATCGTTGTTTCCTTCATGAATGATGCACGGAAGCAGTTTATGTTGGTGAGTGAATTTCTTGGATAACTCGTTAATTAAAATTACAATCTAAATCCTTAGACATTCACCACAAAAAGGAAAAAAGTTAATTAAATCATAATGGTACATATATGGAGTGGTTAGCCGCATTTGTTGTGCTCTAGCCTTTACCTAGCTAATAAAGGACCATAAGGACATTATGATTTACTTTTGTAACATAGTTTATTTGCTTCATAATTATGATTAGACATTACGAACTTATCAATGTCTAATCATAAACTAGAAACCTCAAGTCAAAGAAGTTAAGTTGCGAGATTCTCAAATTTAAATAGTTGATTACTTCTTAATTTTCCTTCAAATTTGGCAGGCTGGATTTGATAAAGAAGAGGATGCCGCTAGAGCTCATGATCTAGCTGCTCTAAAATTATGGGGCGAGTCTGCTAAATTAAATTTTCCTGTATGTTATTAGATCAACAACGATGTATTTGAGTGCTTATTCCTGTATTTTGGTATATGACTCATCCTGCATATCTACGTATTTTTGTAGACTGAACAATACAAGAAAGATTTGGAGGAGATGCAAACTATGACCAAACAAGACTATTTCCTCCACATAAGAAGGTAACAGCGTTGATTTAACAAAGTTGGAGATATGATGTTCTAAAATACAAATAATTTATGGCTTTATGCTGTTATTGTTACGCAACATTCTCATTAGTGCAAAATGTGCTGATGATCAACTTGTCATTGGTACAAATTGTTTGCTTTCTCAACATTCAACTTTCGCTAGTTACCTGGTTTATTGTTCTTCTTGGCATCTTTCTTTTTGGGTAACTTTCTTGCCATCTCTATTTATTGATGTATGTTAAACTTGTTGAATTTCAGAGCAAGTCCCTAGCTTTGCCAATGGTTTATCTAATTATCGTGGAGTTTCAAGGTATTATAACTCTCTCTCTCTCTCTCTCTCTCTCTCTCTCTCTCTCTCACAGTCATGCCATGAAACAGAATCTCAGGCAAAAAGAAATGGCAAGCTAGACTAGGGAGAGGTAAACGGCACAATGGCCTTTATCTGGGTACATTTGGTAAGTCATATGACCCTTATGCCTTATTTTATCCATTAATGGCTTGATCAACATTTAGTTAACTTATTTTATTCATTTGTCTAATATTTTCCTGCTCTACAATCACATAATCAGAAACTGAAGAGCAGGCAGCCAGAGCTTATGATATTGGCGCTATAAGGACGAAGGGCACAGATGCAGCCACGAACTTTGATGTAAGTGAAAATGATGTCAACAGCATTTTACAGAGCGAAAAGCTTCCAATTGGAGAGGGTGCTTCAAAGTCTTTAAAGTTTGCTTCATCAGGTGATGATTTCATACAAAGCAGAAGAAAGACTAACAAAAAAACTCCCTTTTTGCAACCCTAGTGAAGATCATAGATTAGGCATCCTTAACCGTATTTCAACCCAACCGTCCTCGTCATTTCAGCAAACAACTCTTCAAACCCTACCAATATACCCCAATAATTCAAACCGTAGTCAGTATGTAGACCCCTTCCTCCAAGACTTCCAAAATACTGATAATATCCAAAATAACCAACTCCTTCAGTACTATAGTGTTAACCCTCGTTCTCAAGTTCAAGGTGTTCCTGCAGGCTATCAGAACGCTAATTTTGAGACAACCCGTATTTTTAGTCATTGGGACGGTAATACTTATGGCGGAGGCGATAATTCTGTGGGGAGTGCAATCAATATTGGACCTGCCATACCCTCACAGAACCATGAGTTAAACCAGTTTCAGTATTATAACAATAATGCCTACGGCCAGAAGCTCAGTCAAAACCCTAACTCCTCGTGTCTTAACTCCCATGTTTCGGCTTATCCTCAAACAATTAACCCTACTTTTCTTCGTGGGCTGAATAACCTTCATACGTGCTCTAGCTATATTGGGGAATGTTCCAGTAGTCAAGCTGAGGTGAGCTTGGGCACGATATTGGGGGAGACTGACAAGAGTCTTGGTAGTGACATAGTCAATGAAGTGGTTCCTGTTGCTGACCTTGAAGTACATGTAAATCCTATAGAGAGAAACTCAATCTCAGTACCACCAGAAGATAGAGAAAATAAAAGTGCAGGCTATCAGAACGCTAATTTTGAGACAAACCGTATTTTTAGCCATTGGGACGGTAATACTGATGGCGGAGGTGATAATTCGGTGGGGAGTGCAATCAATATTGGACCTGTCATACCCTCACAGAACCATGAATTAAATCAGTTTCAGTATTGTAACAATGAAGCCTACGGCCAGAAGCTCAGTCAAAACCCTAACTCCTCGTATCTTCTTCAAAACTCCCATGTTTCGGCTTATCCTAAAACAATTAATTCAACTTTTCTTCCGGGGCTGAATAACCTTCATACATGCTCTAGCTATATTGGGGAATGTTCCAGTAGTCAACCTGAGGTGAGCTTGGACACAAAATTGGGGGAGACTCACGAGAGTCTTGGTAGTGACATAGTCAGTGAAGTGGTTCCTGTTGCTGACCTTGAAGTGCATGTAAACCCTATAGAGAGAAACTCAGTACTACCAGGAGATAGAGAAAATGGAAGTGTTGTCGAAGTCTCAGGGGTGTCCAAATCAGGTCATGTATTGGACACTTCTAGTTGGAAGGACTTGTTGTTGATGAGCTTAAACGATCCAGATTGTAAATTATGAAAAGGCTGCTTGCAAAAGCCAAGTGGTCTGTTTGTCCTTTCAATTTATCTGTTATGTTACTTGTTATGGAACTTTGGTTACACCACGATGGGACCACAAGAAGTAACATAACAAGTCGGAATCAGGTTTCGAGAGGGTCCCTCAGGGTCCACCTGGGTGATTGCTTATATGCCATGTTGATCTTATTACATGTTTTGAGATATCTGGAAATAAGATTTATCTTGTGATATTCTGGATTTGTGATTACTTTGGATTTATGGTTTTACAATGAGATATTCTGGACTTGTGATTTTGCCCATTGGATTTTACATGATGACTATATATGTAGTATGGATTATATATATATAAGGTTTTCAAACAGGGCGTTGTTACGTTAAAAAGGAAAAAAGGTTCTTAGAAAATTTTCTTTTTGTCCACTTGCGCTTTTCTGTTTTGCACCTCCTTCAAGATTTAGTTGCAGAGATCCGTTCAATATCTAGGACCATTGGCAGCTCTGAAAAACCTCCCGAAGTGTAGGGAGAAGAATTGTATTTCCATTTTGTACGAGTATCCATCCTTTAGAGGATAGGATAACTGGATTGTTAATGTACATCTTAAACTTTTGTTGTATTAGTTTAACTTATGCTCTGAACATGAACTACATGCATGTAATAGAGGATCAGAGACCCAATAGGTTTGGCCTTTTGAGGATTGTGGAACAAGATTGTATGTTTTTAATAAGAACCTTGTTCTAACCTTCAACGCATGGCACATAAACTCTGTTTGTATTATTGCTCAACACATAACCTCCTTTGCACAATTAGTCTGCTATATATATATATATATATATATATATCTATCTCAGACTTGCAAGGTAAGTTTCTACACAATAACCACCTAACTAACTAATCATCCAATCTCATGACAAGTGTCAATCATCTAATAAGGGTTCCATGATCTAACCAAACATACACCTATCTCTTAATTTGGATAACCCATCTTAGTATCCTATCAGTTTCTCACAAGTAAATAGACGAGTATTTACTTTATAAATAAGCGAGGTTTTGTCAAATTTTTGGTAGACTTTCTTTATAATGTAAGTCGTTATGTCAACATGCGTAAAATGACTTCGTCACAATCCAGCATGGGCTAGCATGCCATGATTTCGGCTACCAAGATATCAAGGTCGGGGTGTGTCACTATTAATCTTGTGATTAGCTAAATATACTAACTCACCAGTAACATGCACAACAGTAAAATTTATGCTCATAAACTATGCCATTTTTGTTTATTACAAACACTATCTACTTAGTTAATCACCAATACAATCTATCGAAAATCTGAGCAAATGCTCTTTTTATAAGCATACAAATTCTATGGTTGAAGGAACTTCTTCTATAAGCTGCTGCCTTGCAAGATTTCTTGCCTTCTCTTCCCTCACCACTTCTTCAACAGTCTTCTTTATTCTGTGCATGGGAAAACAATAATGTGGTTCGATAGGATCGGTGGGATCAATAACAATTTTCTCCAGTTCAACGGCATTCTGTATCAAGAATTTGACAATTTCAAGATCACTTGCGCGACCATCATACCCTACAATTTCCACTACCTTGAGATAGCGATGGGAGCATTTCGATGGTTTCTTAAATCTCATTTCTCTTCTCTCGCATAATGGGTACAACTGCGGTAAGGAAACAACTTAATTAGTGTAAATAGCACAAGAACAAAAAGTTGCAGGAAGTTTATAGGCACAAAATAGAACTATCATTTAGTCTGCAAGTCTTTGGAACAATAAAGTTGAACTTGGGAAGCTACCAAATAGGATTACCCAGTAGAATTACCATTAAGACAATCTAGCAAATCCGTACATTCTTGACTTCAAAATATATGCAGGACACCTTTGTTCGATATAGAGTTTCATTTCTTCTATCTCACATGCATTACGGTGGTAAACTTAATTTTACAATTAAAAGGAATTGAATAACAGGACACATTAAGTAAAAGACATTTAAGAGATGCACCACGACCCGCTTTCTGGATTCGGATCCCTAACTCCCCTCCCCCACCCCCAAACAACTATCCTAAAATCTTCATTGGGAAGCAAAATTGCTACCAAATAGGTTGTTGAATATCTTTACGATTAAACCCCGGACAATACACCACATCCCTGCTCCCTTGACTAAAACCTCATACACAAAATCACCAAAGTACACAAAGTTTTAATGGGTGATCTACCAAATAAAAATACATACCTCCAACACAAGTTTGTGCAAGTAAGGAGATGCCTTAATGAAAGAAGCTAACTGTAGAAGGATGAAAGCATCATTTGCTTGAAATTTTAGTTCCAAATGCTTGAGGTTTGCTAGTATAGGGAATACACGATTCCTTTCCTGGAACTGAAAACCAAACCAGGATTAAGGCACTTAACAAAATCGAACAAAAGAAAAGAGAACTATCACATACAAATTAGATGTACTAACCAGAAGTCCGTTCAGCTTGAGAATCTCTAGCTTAGAAATACAGCATGAAAGTTGGGTGAAGGCGTCTTGTATGCTCTTATATGAATAATCACATACCTCAACAAGAAGTGGTACATTCCTAAGAAGCATGTTTATTTCACATCCAACATGAGTAAACGAAACAAGGTTTGCGTCACATATCTCTATGCTTTTGAAGCTTGAGCATTGTTGTATCACTAGGTACTTCAATGAAATCGATGGACCAACAACACTTAGATTACGCAAATTTGGTGAATCATCCACCAATAACCGTTCAAGAACAGGACAGCTTGACAAGAAGTACTCAAGAACGTCTCCATCCACATCAACACTTTTGAAATTAAGAACTGTGAGGGACTTAAAGCCAATGCACGCACAAGGATTGGGGCTTGGAATATCAGAACACAAGTGCTTCAAGGTGGAATCTTTTTGGATACCCAAAAGCTCGTGCGGAAATGTATAGCACGGAAAAAACTTCCGAGGAAAAACACCATACGATAACAAGTCCAACTCAAGCATTTGAACTCCCTTTTTCATAGCAAACTGAATCCATTTATCAATGGAACTTGAAAACCTAGGATCTAGATCGAAACAAACCCTGAATTGCTCAATGGTTGGACCTTGATGCTGTTCCATCACACTGTTCACCCAATCGACGTACTTACGGATTTCCAACTCTCTTGCTCCTTCTCTGAGATCAGCCAAACTGCATAAAGTTTTCTCAGCATCAAAGTCGAGAGTACTAGTAGATGCTAGCACATGCCGCCACACATGCTGCCATCGCCTAGAAAGTACGCTAGTAGCTTGTGCTTCCTTTAGTGGCAAGAGAGACAGTATACTAACAAGAACTTCATTCGGCAACGTACTAATTCGGTCCAAATCCAACAAGTTGTTGTCTTCATGCTTATTTTTCTTCCTACTTCTCAAATTGTAACCACCACCCTATGAATTGAACCCCAAAAAACAGAAACAAATGTTAAGACTAAGTTTTACCAGGTAATCTCCTCTCTTTCATGATTTCCTTAAATAACTAAATCAATTTTGCACAAAACATAGACAAAGTACGAGGAACCAATCAGAAAAACAGAACCAAACGAATCAGACGAACTGACGATATATGGGAAAGAATTTTAACATTAAAAATGCTGTTTTTTTATACTAGTTGGATACATGGGAAGAAGAAAGATGCAAAATTTATAGCAATTTTACCTGGTCTTGTGAAAATTGAGAAGGTGGTCGACGCTGCAACCTTTTCTTCACTAAATCCGACGGTGGCCCTTCCATCTTACAAATCTTAATATGGAGGTTGAGATTTTGGGAAGTGGGATTTTCTGGGTTTAGTTCATCCGGTACTGTGTCGTCTTCATCTCTCTCAATCTCTCAAAACTCAACTGATGCGACTCAGCTCGGACGCTCATTTTTCGGGTCTTACTGGTTTAGCCTTGTTGGACTTTCTCTGTGCTTTGTCCGCCTTCTGTTTGGGCCGTGCTTGTATTTTGCTACCTTCAGGCCTTTGTTTTGTTGGACACCTTTCCTGAAAATCTTTTGTTTCTATTTGTTGAAACCTATAAAATAGAAATTAACGAATCATCTGTAGTGTGTGATTATGTACAATATTAGTTTTTGTTTAGTTTATGGATAAGATAGACAATTAATTCATAGAAAGTCCAAGCTCCATTCACAAACAAAGTCAAACAAATTTTCATTGACTTATATATTGTATATACATTATCGTGGTTGGGACATTGCTTTCATTTTACTAATACTGAGATGTAATCTACCTACATTGAAGCTTCAAAGAAATTCGAACGAGATTTCCTTATATATTGTATACATTTTTTCTGGAACTGCAGGATCATTATAGAGATAATGGAGATATATTTGTGAATCAGACAAAATATATTAAGGATCTCATTCATAAGGCAGGTTTGAAGTCTTGTAAACCTACAAATACTCCTTGCAAGCCCCACAACTCAATGCTTGTGACAGAAGGCACCCCATTACAAGATCCTAGTACATATAGAAGTATAGTTGGTTCACTGCAGTATTTGACCTTCACAAGGCCAGATATTGCTTTTGCAGTAAACTCAATATGTCAATTCATGACTACACCAACTGATCTGCATCTAGAGCAATAAAGAATACTAAGATACCTTCAAGGAACAATTTAGGTTGGAATTTGTTACTCAGCAACTACAGAAATGAGTTTAAATGCATTTTTAGATGTAGATTGGGCTGCAGACCTCAATACCAGAAGATTAGTAACATGGTATGTAGTATTTCTTTGAAGCAATCCTATCCCTTGGTAGTCTAAGAAACAAAATTTTGTTTCAAAAAGTACAACTGAAGTAGAATATAAAGCTTTAGCTCATACAGCTATAGATATTACTTAGGTGAGATATATTTTAAAATATTTGAATGTGTTCTTGCCTAACCCTTCTGTGATACACTATGATAACATTCAACAATTTCACTCAGTGCCAATCATGTGTTCCATTCTGGAATAAAACATTTGGATACAGATTATCACTTTTGTGAGAAAGGGTACCACAAGGTGATTTGGAAGTGGTTTATGTTCCAGCAAATGATCAAGCTGCGGATATTTTGACTAAGGGTTTACATGGTCCATCCTCTATCAAGCATTGTTACAATCTGCTACTAGGAAATCCTAGTTGAGATTGAGGGGGAATATTAACCATACTAATGATTTAGCAGCTGACTAATGACATGGTAGACTTGCAGTTGAGGATTGATGACTTGGCATTTGATCGGTTAGTATTGTTGTAACTAAATGATAGGTTCTTAGGTTGTTGTTAGAGTTAGTAAAGTTGAGCTCTATAAGCTGAGATATCCTTGTAAGAATGTATTGTGAATCATTAACACAGAAATACAAAGACTCTTTTCTCTCCATTCTTAGCTTTCCTTTCTTCTTTGATTCTTGATTTTTCTGCTTTCTCAATACATCAAAGAAATTTAAACTTTTGAAAGGATAGTTTGAACTCAAGTGCTTATGCAATTTTAGCCTTTTGGAGTAGAACGATGTAGGACACACAAGGGGTCATTCTCCAGTCCAAAGGTGAATGGTCGACACACTTTGGACATAGAAAAATATGCACATACAAATAAGTGGGAGGAATGAACCATACCCTCATAGAAAAAACGAGGAAAGATGCATACAAGGAAAAAATTGTGACACAAAGCTTAACTCTCAAACAAAACCTAAAAAGGTAAAGAAAGTCAATGTGCAAAAGAAAAATATTACAATAAATATGTCACCGAGGTTGTAAAAGGTCCATTTACATTTCCAAGTTTACAACTCCGGTTGCCTAACACAGCTATATCTTACAAATCTCAACAGATTCCCATGAACTGCAAGGTCTTTGTTTACTTTTGATAGAAAATCTATTGTTTCTATTTGCTGAAATCTATAAAATATATAAGCAATTAATTCGTAGAAAGTACAAGCTCCATTCACATATCAAAGTAAACAATTAATTGTTCATCTGTAGTTTAGGGAAACAATTAATTCGTAGAAAGTCCAAGCTCCATCCACATGTTATGAAACAACAAAGCCAAACAAATTTTCATTGACTTGTATATTGTATATTTATTATTGTGGTCAGGACAACGGATTGCAGTTTCCTTTCATTTTACTAATACTGAGATGTAATCCACCTACATTGAAACTTCAAAGAAATTCGAACGAGTTTTCCTTGAAACTTCCTCATCCATAATTAATTAATGATTCCATAACTATATAAATATCTTCTTAGTCGGTGCCAATGAATTGCAAACCTTTCCAGAGATTAAAAGATGATCAAGAATCCTATGAGCCATGTTTCTTGTCTTGTCTTCTGGTTGTTACTGTTTAAGACTTTATTGGCCATGGCCGGCATGGCACAAAACACAACGATACCAGTAAATGTGGGGGTGATCCTTCACTTTGATTCCTTGTTCGGAAAGGTGGGTTTGAGCTGCGTTAACATGGCCCTCTCTAACTTCTACGCTTCTCATGCTTACTACAAGACTAGGCTGGTCCTTCACACCAGGGACTCCATGAGAGATGTTGTTGCTGAAGCTGCTGCAGGTTCTCTCTCTACTTTTAATTTTTTCCATTTCTTTTATCTTTACCTTTTTTATTATTTTGATGTTACATGCATAGTTTCGAAGCATAACCGATTGCTTCCTAGGAATTGTACTTTTGGGTTCAGTTTTTGTTCACCACATGTTCATCATTTACTATCCTTTCTTAGAATGTGTCACGTGTTATATAGATTGACCAAGATTAACCTATGATAATAAAGGTGAGTTCAGGTTCAATGGACTCATCTAAAGTGAGTTTTTATCTTAACAGGTCTTGGTGTTACTAGAAATGAACCGTCAAATTGAACTTTAGATTTAGTCTCTCAAGAGTGATATAGTTCCTTACACCTCTTGGTACTGGTTTGGTATTGAATTGCTTTTATAAAAAATGGCTATAAAAAAAAAAGCTTAGTTTAAAAAGGTGTTTGGCAAACATTTAAAAACAACTTATTTTCACAGTTTTGGGTGAAAAAAAATAAAATGAAAACTTAAAGCAGTAAAAATGAGTTTATTCTCATAGCGCAGCAGAAGCAGTTTTGTTTTAAAACACAACAATACCAAACCAACCCTTACTGGAATTTCCTTTAGCCTGCTCTACCTAGTTAGAAACAAAGTTCGGATACCAATTTCGACCAGTATGGATCCATTACTAATAAGTCTGCGATACACTGCAGCACCGATATGGTTCCCAAATTAAATGCATAAATCCAATACCTTGGGTGATCATGCGCAATGGACTTATTGATCAGGTGTAGTGTTTATCTTAAAAGATCTTAATGCTGAAAGTAATTAATGAATTGTCAACTCTTTACTTGTGGGTCATTGTGATACTTTTCTGAGGTGGATTATGTTCGTCCACACTCTTGGCTTATAAGTTATATCGAGCCACATAAGCCCAACTGACTATTCCCCGTTAGGTATGGGTGAAATAAATTCGACTTTTTTTGTACCAATTTAGAACTGCATCAGAATTTACTTTAATTTCTGCTTTTCCACCCCTTAAACAGCTTTAGAATTGATAAGGGACGTTGAAGTGCAAGCTATTATCATAGGACCGGAGTCATCAAAAGAGGCCAACTTCGTTATTGAGCTTGGAGACAAAGCTCAGGTGCCCGTAATCTCATTTTCGACAACGAGTCCTTTCCCAGCTACTTCTCAGACATCATATTTTTTCCGAATTGCACAGGATGACTCATCTCAAGTGAAAGCCATAAGTTCCATCTTCCAAGCCTTTGGATGGAGTGAAGCTGTTCTCATCTATGTTGACAACGAGTTTGGAGAGGGAGTAATACCTTACCTGGGTAATGCTTTGCAAGAAGTTGGTGCTCGTATCTCCTACTGGAGTGTCATCCCTCCAGTGGCCACTGATGACCATATTGTTTCAAAGCTTCAACACTTGATGACTATGAAAACAAGGGTATTCATAGTACACATGTTGCCTTCTGTTGGTTCTAGGGTTTTTGCCAAGGCAAAAGAGATAGGCATGATGAGTGAAGGTTATGCTTGGATAATGACAGATGGGATGACAAACTTTTTTGGTTCCATAAATTCTTCTGCCGTAGATAACATGCAAGGGGTGTTGGGTTTGAAAACTTACATCCCAAATACACAGGAGCTTGAACATTTCAGAGTCAGATGGCAGCAAAAATTCCAAAACGACAATCCAACTATTCTAAATGTTAAGTTGGATGTTTTTGGACTGTGGGCTTACGATACTGCTGGGGCACTGGCCATGGCAGTGGAGAAGGTTGGGAGTTCTAAAAACTTCAGCTTCCAAAAGACAAACACTTCTGACAGAGCCAATGATCTAGAAACCCTAGGGTTCTCTCTAAGTGGTCCTCAACTTGTCCAAGCACTATCGAGTACAATATTCAGAGGCCTCTCAGGTAATTTTACTCTTGTTAATGGACAACTTCAGTCATCAGATTTTCAGGTGGTTAATGTGATTGGTAATGGGGAAAGAGGACTTGGATATTGGACACCCAAAGATGGACTTGTGAGAAACATGAAGTCTGCAAACACAAACTCAAACACAAGCATAAACACATATTCTACCACTTCCAATGCCAGTAGTCTTGGACCTATTATATGGCCTGGTGACACAACCACCATTCCAAAAGGTTGGCAGAATCCTAACCATGGGAATACATTGAAAATTCTAGTTCCAGTGAAGCGTGGGTTTAAAGAACTTGTAAACGTGACACTTGATCCTAGCACTAACACAACCATGATCACTGGATTCTGTATTGATGTCTTTAAAGCCACAATCGAACAATTACCATATGCTGTTTCCTATGAATTTTACCCTTTCGTGAAGCCTAATGGTGAGGCAGCTGGCAGCTACAATGATTTGATCTTTCAACTGTTTCTTGGGGTAAACTGCTTATCCTTTGCTACTATTTTGGTTACATCATAGTAAAAGCTAGGTAAACTACATATATTTGTGTTTCTCTAACCGCATCTATAGTAGAGAGAAACTTACATACACTAGGCCTATATCACCAGTACTCTGCATTTCTCTCTCTCTCTTTACATGATTAATTGGTCCCTTGACGATAGAGACATGAAAATCAATAGTGGTACATTAGGTGCTATATTCTGCTAAAAGAGATGAGACCACAGAAACTGTCCAATTTCTTCATAAAATCTAATGTCATGTATTACTTGGCAGAACTATGATGCTGGAGTGGGAGATATAACGAATAGAGCAAATAGGTCGCTGTATGTTGACTTTACATTGCCTTATACAGAATCTGGGGTATCAATGGTGGTACCTATCAAACATAGCAAAAGTAGGCAAGGTGCATTGGTGTTCTTGAAGCCTTTTACTTGGGACCTTTGGGTAATAACCTGTTGTTGTTTCATCCTCATTGGATTCGTTATCTGGGTTCTTGAACACCGGATAAACGAGGATTTTCACGGGCCTGGCGGGCCTGCCGTAAGCTTTTGGTTCTCCTTCTCAACCATGGTTTTTGCACAGAGTACGTGTTTTGTTCATATGGATCCATAGATTATTTAGTCATCATTAATTGTCCATTTGCTTTCTTTTAACCTTATTTATACTTTTTTTTTGTCACAGGGGAGCGACTAGTGAGCAACTTGTCTAGGTTTGTAGTGGTAGTATGGTGTTTTGTAGTCCTCATATTAACTCAAACCTACACAGCAAGTTTAACATCGTTGTTAACCGTCGAAAAGCTCCAACCAACCGTTACTGACGTAGGCCAGCTCCTCAAGAATGGAGACTTTGTTGGCTTCCAAGAAGGTTCATTTGTCCAGGAGTTACTGACACATGAACTAGGGTTTCATGTGGAAAAGCTTAGGGCCTACAGATCGACACAAGAGTTGGCTCAACTTTTTGAAAAGGGCGGTGTTTCTGCTGCCTTCGATGAAACCCCATTCATGAACCTTTTTCTTTCAACTTATTGCTCAGAATATACCATGATTGAAGCAACGTTATTCAATGCTGACAGTGGTTTTGCCTTCGTAAGTTAATCTACTAATTGCTTTTTCTCTTTTGATATGCATTCTCCCTAGCATTACCATGAAACATTGAGTCTCTTAGGTCCGTTTGATAAGCAATTCATTTTTCATCTTTTTTAGGCTTTTTAGTTAAAATGGCATAACTCCTCAATTTGGTCCCTGAGATTTGAAATTAATAGAATTTGTCCCTGAATGTGTCCACCATCAATCATTTTGATCATTCTTTGAAAAATCTCCATTAAATAAGAATATAATAATTAACCAAAATACCCTTAATTTTTGTCAAATCATTTTGGCACATTGTTTATTAAATTGAGGGTATATTTGTCATTTTGATCCTTAATTAACATAAATTTGCATGGAATGACCAAAATGATTGATAATGGACAATCTTCGGGCCCACTTCTATTGATTCCAAATTTCAAGAACCAAAGTGATGTGTTATGTAAATCTCAAGGATATTTTTGGCTAAAAAGCCTTTTTTTTTTTTAAAATAAAAAAAATTTTAAAAAAAAAAAAAAAAAAAAAACCGATACAAATTTTGGAAACTCAAAATAGTAGCTTTTAGTTTTTAGGATGAAAACTGAAAATAAAAAACAAAAACAAATTTTCAGAAAAAAAAAAAAAAACTGAAAACTGAAAAAGGAAATGGTATCAAACTGCTCTTTACAAATTCATTCATCAAATGACATTTGCAGTAATATATTAATTCAAAGTGATAATTTGTTTGAGGTCAAAATATTTTCAGGATTTGGGCAATCAAAATTTTGTGCTTTAAAGAAGAGATAAATGATGAAGAGATATTTTTCAAAAGATTTTAGTTTTGGGGATGTATTGTACATGGAGTTTGAGGGAGTTCACTTGTGTAGAATTATGAATACATGGATTTTTGAGGGAGTTTACTTGACTTGTATAGAATTCATGAGGATTTTGATTGAATCTACACGTATTTTAACATACTTTGTGAGATGCTCATCAAATATGAAATTATTTATTTACCTTAACTTAATTTCCTATAATTTTCAAATTGAATTTGAACCAAGCTCCAAGACACTCACACAAAAACAAGTCCTCTGATTATTATTATTCTTGTTGTTATTTAAATGCATGTTTTCTCATGCATGTGGGATTATAATCCTTCTTTGATTTGGTGGGGTGCAGGCCTTCCCAAGAGGTTCACCTCTAACTCTTGATGTTTCAAGGGTGATCACTAATCTGCAAGAGCAAGGTAAAATAGAGAGCATCAAGGACAAATGGTTCAAGAAAGATGCAGGTTGTAAGAGGGACCCTGCCACCACTTCCATTAGCTTCAATAGTTTGTGGGGATTATTCTTGCTTGTTGGGGTTTCTTCAGCATTTGCTCTTCTCGTACATGCAGCTATGTTCTTCTACCAGAATAGGCACCTGCTGATACTCCCTGATCCGAATGCTTCACTCTGGCACAAACTATGCAAGATAGTTACCTTCACATTATAAGTCCAGTTGAATCCTCACTAGACGCCATGAGTAACATTTCGTTGGGCGTCGGTGCCAGTCAAACGACACCGAAAGCAGCAAGTGCCTACCCCGCATGGTGAATTGAATCCCCATGGTGAAGCAATCCATGATATTCAGCCAGCTATTTAGATACACAACTGATGTAGTAGTGGTCGAATTAGAGATCGAAATTGCGTAATGAAAGCTGTGCGTCGTTTGATGACAAATACGACCGAAACTGAAAAAACCAAGTTATACTTGTTAACTGCATCTCAATTCATTATGTAATAGACAAGGAAATGAATTCTTACATTCCGACCAACCAAACGAGGCGACAATGAACGAACCTTAATAGTATTTGTTAACCAAGTACCACCGGTTGGGGATTTGGGCCACACACTGGCCAGCCATCATAATTTACGGCGAGTCATCTTTGATAGCATTCGTTGGGATCGGAATAGATAATTCACTATATCTATATCAAATATTGAAGGAAGAAATGAAGGTCCGGTTTGATAACTATTTCGTTTACAATTTCTAGTTTTCTCTTTTCAAGTCTCAAGCCTCTCTGATGCATTTGGAATATAGATTCTTCCAGATCGAGTTTATTGCGTATGAGTAATTTAAATCAGATGGCAGCTTAATACAACATACGTAAACGCTAATGGCTCAGGCCACATTTTTGCCTAAATCCTCTTGATATTTCCATTTCATTATTCACAGCTCTGTTTAAGTTTTCTCCATACTTTCATGATCCAGAAAACCAACGGATATACACATGTCGAGTCCGCTCTTTGAAAATTACGCAGACCACACCTCACGAAGGAGTTCATACCTCGCATTCGTGCAGGCATGACCTTTATGCTCATGCTTTCCGTTTCCATTCCATTTGCTACGATAGTTGGAGTTGATGGTAATTTGTCAACGATGGATGAAAGCGGTGAATCCAACTCCTCCAGCTCCTCATCACTTGTATATCCCTTTCGTTGTACAACTGAGACATTCCTTTCCAGTTGCGAACTTCCTCCTGCTTCTGAAACTTTTTCTGCCACATCAGCTGAGGAAGGTGGGGTGTACACAACTGGTGCCGCTGTGTAAGGGAAGCTCCTCACCAGTTCTCCTGACAATCTGCGCTCCATAATGCTCTGAAGAAATGATGAAAGCGTACGTCAAACCTTCAGCGTTGTTAATTTTGTTTTTGCCATAGCAAAAGCGCATTTCTTCATTAGAAACTACAGAATATGGTCCATTTGGTTTCACATTTTAACATTAAACAAAAGATCCTTAAAAAAAGTTCAAGAAAAAACGTTGTCAAATTTTTCAAACCTACACAGTTATAATTGCAAAAACACATCAGGCCACAGAACACAAAAACTGAATAAAAGCAAAAGTATACCTCGGCATTCAGTGCCTCCAATACAGCTCCTGGGACAGCATCTGGACAGAACTCGTCTGGTGTGAAGTTACAAAGTATCCGCTTAACTAATGGAAGACTAATTGATGGGCAGACCTAGTAAACATGAAAGGAAACAAATTTGAATCAGCCCAAAAGGAGAAGTGAACACGACGCCAGAAAATTCAGATAAGTTGAGGCAGTCAAACTAAAACCACAGCCATTTCCTTTCAATAAGAAGGCAATGAGATTATAAAAACTAACCTCCTTTCTGATTCTCCTATCAATAAGCATGTCTTTGGGAAGCATCAAAAGATCACTCAAGGCATTCAGAAGAAGAAAGGATTTATCACCATCCCCACTCTGCCCGTCATCATCCTCACTGCCAGGGTGATCTTCTTGCAGGGAATCATCAGCATCCATGTCAAACGTATCACTTAGCCATCTAGACCAATTTCCAACCTGCATGACATGAAGCCTCCTCATTATTTAAATCTAGCAATCACATTTTTTTAAAATAAGACCCAAGGACTTAAAAGTATTATGAGGAAGGAGGCACAGGTCATGCCCCTGTCATGGATTCAAGCAAATGGTGAAGAGGACATTCATATATACGGTTTTATGAGTAACTAGTGAGCAATCTAAACCCCAACTAGTCGTTGCCGGCACTAAGAATCTCCAGGTAAGGACCACAGAAATAGCAATATTGAGGCCTTCTAAGCAACAAACTACCAATTTTCCTTGGGAATCCTTAAGAAAATGCATTTATAAATGATGTGAACCATTCAAAAGTGGATATTTATTTCTGTTTTAAAAAGAAGAAAAATAATTAAGTGAAAATGAGCATGATACTTACAGAATTCTTAAGTTGAGCACCAGACCCAAAACTCAAGTCGCCAGCAGGAATAGGTAGAACCCTGGAATCAAGAATGGGATCTGACACTGGATCAGTAGGGATTTCATGGGCAGATTCACGCAGAATAGCATTGAACATTGCCACATCTAGCCTTGCAACACAATGTTCCATTACCTAAAAGGTGCCATTGCAAAAGGAAAGCTCATACAAATGTTCTAGTGAAGAATAAATGATGAAGATGAGAAACTTTGGTGATTGAAATTAAATTCCAATGTCTGACGGAAAAAAATTTAACCACAGAGGGTTCTTAAATAGATATTCAATGATTTCATACCATTCTTGCCAAAACAGGCAAGCAGCCACACTTATGCCCCCTGCTCGAACAGGACAGAGTCGCTGAGAAGCATCCTGGAAAGCATTTTTCCATAGGTTGACAGAAAAGCTACCTTGCTTCTGATCACCCAGTGCAGGTCCTGACAACCTTACAGTCGTCTTATTTGTAGCTGAACTCTCAGCAGGAGATTGCATATTTGGAGTCAAAGCCTAAATAGATAAGACTCTGGTCAGCAAAACATAAAAGCAAATCAAGGCTACTACAAAAATCACAGGTTAAGTGACAATTAAGTTTTCAATCAAAATTAAAAATTATCGTCAGTCTATATAAATTCATGTATACACTTCAAGGAAAAAAATGACCTTGAACATGCAACTTATCCATCAAACAATATGATTGTCGTGATGTACAGAACCCAGCCACCTTTAACTGTTAAAAGCAAGAATGAGAGGTTCTTTGTTTGTGTAGGCGTACCTGCCACCATACTGACTCAACAATCCGAGAGAAAATCCAGGATTCAACTTTTTCTAATGCAGCTGTGAAGGTTCCTGTCTCTTGCCAGTCATCATCGAATTGCATTAAACTGTTCATTTGTTTGCTACCGGAACTACCCCTCCATTTCAGTGAGGCAGACTTCACTTCATTTCTCTTGCTAGTCCCATTTGACTCCGCAAACTTTACTGAAGGACTTGACTGGCATGAAATGCCAAATGCTTGTGATATGATCTCCCTTAGCACGACAATGTTTGACAACCAGAAGGTCAACCTTAACATACAAAAGGAAAAAATAAATCATTTTCCAGAAATCAGAGAACAGTTGTAACACTATGAACTATAACATGATAATTTTACCTGGGGACATCATTGCCACAGGACTTAGCTATCAATATAAGTCCTGATACAGTATTCTTAGCAATTGTCGCTCGCTTGTCCCGAGTCCAATGCTTGCAAGCATGGATATAAAGTCTAGAAATCCGCCGAGCTGGTGTGTGAACTTTATGCGCAGAGCTCCCATGCTCTGGTACTACAGAGTAGAGGGAAATTTCAAGAGCAGCAACTTCTCGCAGCTCTTCTTCAAGTTTCTCAATTCGCATTTCCATTTCTTCAATCTTTCGTTCCAAAGCTATTTCAACCTCTTGTTCACCATTTTCTTCCGCATTTACTATTTCATGGTCACTTTCTACAGTCTGAGCACCATTTGAGGCCCCATCAAGGATATCACTTACTCTTACCTCTTTAATAGGCTCATCATCAACCTCCTCAAATGATTCTGAGGAAGGTTCAACAGGAACTTCACTATCAGAAGAAGTTCTGGTTTTAACTCCCAAAGGCCCGTTGTTTGAATTAGTGACTTTTTTGGCAGTGTCATGCAACCCCTTGGATTTTGACTTAGTAGATTCACTACCAGATCTCTCCCTGGATCCATGAGAGCTTTTTGAGGAATTCTTCTTTGCAATGGTTTTGGGTACCCTTGAAGCTCTTTCAACTTTCTCATCCTCAAGGGTGGGTGAATCCCCTTGAGATGATACGGAGTCCTTTATTGTCTCGCAATCTGACACCTCGTCATCAATGTTCTCTTTGGAAGTCATTGGAGTAGCTTTCAGATCTTGAGGCACCTCCTCAAACCTGTTGACATCATCTACATAATGTATAACCAAGTTTTCATTAACTTCAGAGAGCTCTGGGCCCGTGTTTGAATCACTTACTAACGTACTGGGGTCTGTTTTAGCATAAGAGTCTTTGGATTCAGTTTCTTTTCCATTCAATGTCTTGCCGTTGTTCCCTTGATTCGGTTTATTGTCTCTCCTTTCACTTCTTCCAGTCCGCTTGGTGTTTTTAGTATTTGGGGTTTTCCTTTTGTCAACCTCCTTCATGCTTAACAAGGTTTAGTTCCTCCAGCTACAACAATCAAACGAAAGACTGTGACATGGAAGAAAACAAAACAATCAACAACCAAGCAAAGCTCTTCTCCTTATTACTTCCTAAGTGACGACTTGAAAACCAAAAAAACAAAGCAAAGAAACGGAGCCAAAACCAGCAATAGAAACATAAAGCAAAGGGATTAAAATTACCTCTTATGCAGCAACTTCCTTCAACTTTAAAATTATTTCGGTCAGCCTGCAAATTGGACATTGTTATGGGTCATCAACCGGAGACTTTTATGCGACGTTTTCCATGCAACAAAATCAAAACGGCGCTACACTGAGCGCGTTGAGTGCATCACAAAAAATGCAATGAAGAGCAAGCTTATGACTACTCTATTTAAAGGTCGTCTCAATCACAGAGCCTTACGTTCATTTCTCAACTCCAAAAGGATAGACAAAAGGATAGACAAAAAAAATCAAGGGAAAACTTGATTTAAGTCCAATTTTTTTAGCCAATAGTAGGAATAGTCCAATTTATTAAAATACATCCAATTCCTTAAATTTAATTATTTTATTATCAATAATTATCTATCCAATGATAAGATTTATTATAAAAATCAAATTTCTTCCTAATTATCTCTTTGATTATTATTTTTTTTTTTTAATTTCTTGTTCTTCCTCCTGCTTTAAACCCTATTTACAGATTTTATTTTTAATTTTTATAATCAACCTATATCACAGGTTAATTATTTTTATGTATCTATATGACATATTCTTTTTTATAATCAACGTGTCACAAATTCATGTGTCTTGCTTGTAGGTATATTATGTTTTTTCCTAACTTTTAGTTAGGTTTCATATCTCGTTTACATGTATAATATATATTCATATATTTGTTACTTGAGTTAAGGTACAATGTTTTGTAGATAATTTATGTTAGTATATTAGTTTTTTTTTTATTGTAAGATATTAATTAGATTTTTTGGAGTTGAAAATGCATAACATTAGAAGATTTTAATTGATTTTTAATATTTTTAATTTTTAAAAAATATAAAATAAGTATAAAAGAAATAAAAACATGTAATTAGATAATTGGACTCACTCTAAAAAACTATCTATGTTTTGGACCTAGATCTAAAAGCCCCAAAAATCAATCACAAGGACCAAACAAAGTTTGTTTACTCATTGTAAGGGACTTGTAGCTCAAGTAAATAAGAATCGCACAGCAAATGATTCCTCTGTACTAGATTCGGATCCCCCTCCCCCAATATCGCTCAAATCAAAATCATATTTTGTTTACTCACAAAAAGAAAAAAGTATATCTATTCATTCACTTCAAGAAGGCTCATTTGTCCCCTTTTTTTTTTTTTTTTACATATAAGACACGGGTATCCCAGTAATTTCAACCAGAAGGGTCGGAATCGTATACAGCACGGGAGGGCCACATTCCGAAACAGTGACTGATACATCTCAAACTCGTCTATTGTTATGCCAATTAATTAAGATAATGTGCCCGCCTTCACCCGAGTTCGAGCTTAAACTTCTCTTAACGTAGATTAGAATAGTTTAAAATATCGATTTTTGAAAAATATATTGTCAATTTTGGGAATCGGAATCAAATAAATAATCAAAACATGACACAAATCTATTATATTTTATGTCCACATCAAATGTGGAATAAAATGAATATATCCCGATCTAGCAACTGGCAACAGCTAAACCAACAAAAGATACTCAATTTTTTAAAATTTTAATTTTTAGCTTGACCAGCCAATAGAATCAAGTCAAATCGATGAAATTATAGAAACATCAACAAAAAAAAAGTAAAAAAAGTGAAAAAGTTGGCTGAATTAATCATCACAAACTAACAAAAATGGTAAATTTCCCTTTTGAATTTAATCACAATCATTTCCTACATATGTTAAGCTGACGACGTGGCAAGATCCTGACCGTATAATGTAAAATAACGTGAAGTTTCTGAAGTGAAGAAAGAAACGGCAACCACGTACCAGAAACGTGACCGGAGAAGATCCAACGCAATGTCGCAATCCGAGCTCAAAACGACGCCGAACTGAACCACACAAACACCAGCCGCAGTCTCTCCGTTAGCCGCGCGACTGCACCAAACACAAAAGAAAAACGACACGAAAGAGTGAGGAAATGCCACAATTGAAGAACTCGAATTCCAAAACCAAATGACGCCGGAAGCGATAAGCTCAGAAGAAAACGACAACAAGATCTTGGAAAAAGCTTCAGAATCCAGATCAGACGACTCAGAACACTGTAAAGGACCCGCTTTGGGGTGCGTGCCGTCTCTATCCGCCGGAAAAAGGCAGCACCGACCAGTCAAAAAAGTAACTGACAGTAAAAAGTTGTACTTACCGAAGGGGGATTTTTGCTGTGGGCGCTCCGGGATTATCAATAATTTCACGCCGATTAAGAGCTTTTCAGTTAATGGGGTGTTAAATTTTGTGAGGAATTTTCGGGGGAGGGAAGGTGCTATTTAAAAGGAGTGGGGGTGACAGTGTGAGGGGCACGGACATGGGGTAGTGGGGTGACCGGGAGATAAGTTGTCGGTGGGCGTTGGGTGACCGGGTAGTACCGGTTAAGGGGTTGCGTTACGCCGTTACGCGTCGTGGAGTGTAAGTATGGTATGGTATGCCTAAACTGCCATCATTGTTTTGGTGAATTACATTTGGAATAAAATTATCTTCTCTCTTTTCTTTTTCTTCTCATTCCCTCTCTTTCTATTTGAAAGATCACGGTTAAGATACGTCAACACTTAATACTAATTTTTTATAGAAAGAGAAAGACAAAATAGAGAATGTGAGAAAAAATGATGGAAAGAGGAGAGGAGAGAATCTTAGTTCATTACACTTACCAGATTGTGAAGTGGTAGTGGATTTGGAATGAAAAAGTCTAGTTAATCACCGGGTGGATGGGACAGCGAGGTGGGGTGAAAAGAGATTTTATTCGATTTAGTTTTTGAATTATCACCTCAGTGAAAATTAGATCACTAAATTATTATTTCGGTAAAAGAAGTCCCTAAATTCATTAAAAATTGTTAATTTCATCCCTATTATATTCAAAGTTATTTTATCCAATTTTTCGTCAATTTGAGTTACTTCACACACTTTAGAATATAATATCATCATTGTCTCACTGATAAACCCTTAACATTTCGTATACGATGTGAACGTTACGTCTAATTTACCCTCCAAAATTAATTTCATACACTATTTTTCTATGAAAAAAATACCAATCTACTCATTGATGTGTATCACATATAAGTAACGTGAATTAAAGTGACAGAAAATTGAATATAGTAGCTTCAAATTTAATAAGGATATAATTGGTAGTTTTTTATATTGCAATGACTGATTTTCCTGGAAAAAAAAAATTAGAAACCTAATTTTCACTCAAGTTGATAATTTATGAACTAAATTGAAAATTCACCTTTTACAATATATTAAGAACACGATGCGTTATGCCATATATATTAAATGAGTGGATGGAAGTTTATTTTTGAAGTATCCCTCCACTTGTGTTCGTATGTCCTGCATTCTGAGCATCCCGAAAAATCTCTCGTTTGGACTGACCGTGAATGGATCTTATTGAATGTGATATGCTTTTAAGACTTGTGAGTTCAATCAACGTTTTCCTTCCTGATTCTCTCCGTGTCCACAATAATGTCATTTTATTTTGGCTATAAGGGAAGGTAGTTAGCTCGACCAAAACAAAAAGGGTAAGGTAGTTAGTAACAGTTTAAAACATTTAAATTATTTTCTTGTTAGAGTTTCTTTCCTAGGTTAGGTCTTCTGCGTGACCATGTGATTTTAAATATAATAAGTAATTTCATCCATGTACGTGGTTTATTTTTGTAATCTCAAAGTTCTATAAATTAATTAAAACCTCGAAAGTTTAATCCAATGGGACGTTGACAGCATTGCTTCTCAAGTTGGTGATGATAGTATTAACTATTCCCAATCAAGTAGGTAATTAATTAATGGGTTAACAAAATAAGATAGGATGGGCTTTACCCATCACACTCACTGGCTCCAACATTGCAAATCATTATCCAAAACTACATTAATAAAACTCTTTTTATCAATTAAAATACGATAAAAAGACATCTTTGTCTTTTATCACAATAAAAAAAATTAAAGACAGTAACGTAATTTTACAAATGAAAATTTTGTTGTTTTTCCTTAAACCTCATCTACATATAAGTTTATCATCTCTAATTTAAAAAATAAATAAAAATAAAAAACAACCTCTATCCCTCTTAGAGATAAAGGGAATAGGCTAAACCTTACAATGAGCTTGCAATAATATGGTTCAAATTCGTCATTGACGAGAATCAAACCTAAGACTTCTCACTTACAAGTGAAGAGGAATAACATTATACGTGGCAACCCTCAAGAAAAATTTAAACAAGTAAAATTACACTAAAATATAAACAATAGTATTAAATTATAAAATAAACCTGATGAGACGATGCGAACTCGAAGAAGTTCTAAGTTGACAATAGAGTTTTTCATAGAATAAGTTCATTGCTATTGAGATATTTTGGGTCATTGGAGTCATTGACACAAAATAATATAGTCTCTTATTTATTACCTTATATTATTGGTTTGACGATAAAATAATGGATATTGTTTGTGTTTCCTTTTAAGGAGAACCTACTTATCTTTTACTATGATCAATGCATCTTCATCGTACGAACATTATAATCGAAATTGTTTGTTCTCTTAATCATCATCTAAAGATTATGATCAAACGATCAAGACTATCAAAATCAAGATAATTAATAATTTTAATTATGTTTATACGGTAAAGATACGTTAACTATACGTAAAAAGCAAGTAAGTTTCCTATAAAAAGAACACCTGCATTATTCGAAAATAATTGTATTCCATCAAATTGCAACCAGAACGTCTAAAGGGAGTTCCACCGTCACAAGTTTGGTCCATTTGGTCATCTCTATGGACCACTCCCACCGACAGTGACACTATCGGCACACTGAGTGATATCCTCACCTTAATTTGTCATGTCCCCCTCTTCCCTCCTGCACCGACGTAAATCCACCTTTTCTTGTCACCTTCTGACGTTAATTCTGCACAAATTAGAGGACCGTTCCTTTCCCAGCTTATTTTTTTAAGCATAAACAAATTGGAATGGTAGGATTGCTCTGCATCCACGGACCACATGCATACAAAATAAAAGAATTTAATAAAAATAATAGGGCAAAAGTAGCGTTTCAGTGAAAAATATATTGTCACGTTATGGAGTAGTGGTTGAGTCGGGGTCCAGTCCAATTTAGGTGCATTTTAAGGTCCTACAATACGGCATTTATTTATCATAAACCTTTCAGTCATATGTTCTCCCCAAAAAAACAAAAAAAAACCTTTCAGTCATATCAAAATGAACTTCTCATATGTAAACTGTAATATTTTGTCATTTCTTTGATGTGAAATGCTATTCTCCATCAGTTTATTTCTTTACTGAGTTGAAGTGTTGAGTCGCACATCGGTTATGCCTATACAGAAGGAGAAATAATAGTTTAAATGCCCTAATCGCATTCCAACTAATATCGAGATTTTTTGTGATAAAATTTTAAACCTGACGGATTGTGTAGGTGGTAATTACTTAGTTGAGGACAATATCGATCTTGTTGAAAGAAGGTCCCTTGGCCCGTCTATTGAGGACAGTATCGATATTGTTGAAAGTCATCACTTGAGCCGTCTCTTTAATAATTCTATAGGAAGTGCATGCTCAAAGAGCTGTAACTCAATGTAGAGTGAATAAAAATAAATGATTCCAGTTCAGGTTTGAACCAGGAATAACCCAGATCGGTCATATCTAGCAGTAGCTACAATTTAGCTTCACAAATAACTTGATCAAAAAATTACAAGAAGTGCAGCTAGCTGACAAATACGAACAGTAGATATATGAATTAATCTTCCAGGAAATAGAGTATTTACCCAAGAGTGATCCATAAGAAGCTTATACAATCTCCTTCAGTTGATGGATTATTCAAATAAGCTAATTTGAGGAACACCTCGTGGTATCTATTTCTTATTTTTTTTTTTCAATAATTAGAACCATTTATATTAATTCATCACTTATAAATTATCTTTGCAAAAATTTAGACAAATTCAAAATCATTAAGACCTCTACATGTAGTAAAAAAAATAGACGTATTCAAAGAAATTGTAGGAATTTACAAGAAACGGTAATTACGGAGACGATTCCAGAGTTAAGGTTGGGAATTTGGGGAATGGGTTCGTTTTCCTTGGCTTTGTGACTGGGATCATCAATGGTGGGAGAGGGGAGGGGGTAGGAGGCATAAAAAAAAAATTGCATAAATCATGATCAATAACAAAAGTTTTGATTTGGCGAAGCCATGAGAAATACTTCGTCTCGGTTAGTTTGACAGAGTGAGCGGTGATGGAGCTGCAGACGGAAGAGGAAGCCATGGGAAACTGAGTAGAGAACAACTATAAAATCCTAGAACCGAAGGGGGTGAACAGCAGGTAAGAGAGTAGAGGATCAGAAAAAAAGTTGTAAACCTAGGACTGAATTTTGCCCGATACCAAACTATGACTAGCATTTATAATGAAATTTGGTTACAATATATGAACGGTTTGACAAATTCCAACATCACCACATTCTCTTTGGTGTCTGCCATTTTCGGTAGTGTTGCTCGGAAATTTTTCTGAGTTTCAAACATGGTGATTGGCCTCTTTTGCTTGGATGCCGATTACTTCTTACTTATAGCTGTGTGCAAGAGGCGTCAAAGAAGGAGATGATCGGCAGGTGGTCAGAGAATTAGCTGGCTGAAAGCTCCTCGAATCGACGGTGGAGAAAGTAGTGGATGCTTCTCGGATGTTATTTCATTTTTGGGCTTTTGGGCTCATTTTCTGTTTTTTTTTTTTTTTTTTCCTTTTAGTTTAGGCCCTTTTTGGTTGTTTATAGGTGTTGTTGGGTCTTTGTCTGTTTGTAAGTTTGTGTATCTATGTGTTTGGTTGTATTAAAATCTCTCCTTTGACCAAAAAAAAAAAAAAAAAAAAAAAAACATCCCGCTACCGGTCTCAAGCTTTGGCATTGAGGTGGTGACAATCCTTCTTGATCTCTTCCATGTTTCTTTTCATATTTTTGGTAGTGATTGCTCTCTCACTTTATCAATGAGAGCATTTGTGGTTGTGGTCACTCTCTTTTTATGACGAGGTGAGCTTTTGTAGCTATTATGACTTACTGCTCAACTCTGGATCTTAAAGCGACAATTGTTGTTCAAATATGAGGTGGCGATTTTGTGGTTTGCGCACTTGACAAGGATCATGCGAAGGAAGCTCGCTATTGTTGGAGGTGACTTGTAGCAGTCTTTCCTTCATGGTAGTTGCAAGGGTTCGAGGGATTCACAATCATGTTTTCTTGTTGTTGTAAAGTCTTCAAGTGATGGTACGATGTTTACCTTGTGTGTCTTCATGGTGTTAGGTCCAGCTCATAGGGCTTAAGCCTTGTGAGCTTATCTCT